TGCGATTAATGTAATACGCATTATTTTGTAGGTACGCCTTATAATATATTGTTATTACGCTCAACAACACCACACGGCACACACTAAAGTAAAAATATCGATAAAATGTTGATAAATCAAAATAAAAGTTAAAATATTCAACATTCTATTGAATTGCAGGGGGAGAAAGGCCGCCTCTTGCCCCCCCTCCGGGCACCCATGTATGTATAATAACATTGAAATTCATATGCTTGATTTACATTGCCTAAAATTAGTCTGGAATTTACACAATGCCAAGGCATTTTGCAAAATACCCGAATTATCCATATTGCCAGTAACATATTCATGTTATAACATTAATATACTCATGGTTTTATTTTTTATTCATTATTTTGATTTATTTTTGCGTAACTCCACTACCAGGGACGATTTTCGATTTTGTCATCGCTTTCTGGTCTAAATTAATAATACAACTATGGACCCGTGTTATTCATTTTAATCCCCGTACACAAATATTTACCACTTCAATTCTAGTACATTCTTTTGGAAAATTTTAGGAAAATGGTTAGGTGTCTACTTTCATTTACTCGTGATTGCGGTTTAGCAAAAATGTCGAAATGTAAAAACAACAATCAACCGTATGCGAATAAAAAATATCATCGGCAAATCGTACACGCACTATTATGCGAGAATAAATACGTTAGGGGGTATGGTCACGATATCTAAACGAGGGACTTCCATCATCGTCTGGAGACGATAATTCGACAAAAAGCGAGCGGTGCAAGGTTCCCGGCAAACTGACATTGTATTATTGTTTTGTCACGCATTAATATTGTCCTCTGAGATGCAGAAGATTGGACTAGGACGTACCTCCGCACAAAAGGTTGTATTGTTCCCTGCATTGGATTTATTCTCCGTATTTTTATCTTTCGCAGTTCGCGCGATTCCCGTACAACTCTACTAGACGTTACTGCGATGGATCTTCTAGGATTTAGGATTTTCATTTTTTTTATTTTTAGTTTGTTCGTTTATTTTTTTTTTTCGTTATTTTTATCCATGACTCAACGCGCGTGTAAAGCACTCTCCACCACCTCGGGCCAACTTAATCACAATTGATGCCAAGAAAATTCTATTCGCAAACTTCGCACCACAGTCTCTACACAATACAATGTACGGCCGAGAAAAGTTTTTGCGTCGCCGTATAACAATTATTATTTTTATTGTTATGGTTATTGTATGATATACTCACACACACACACACACATATATTATCCAATAAGGGTTACAGGATCATGTCGTGTTCGCGAGAATACGATGTACGCAATATTTTAATTTAGAGGTTATAGAGTTGTTTTCCTTAATTTTTTTTATCAAAGATCGATTACGGATTTGCAGAGAGTTTCACTCACTTATCGTGTTTAACATTCAGCGTAGCTTACATATTTATTTAGCTTGAATGACTATCTTATTTATCGTTGTCCAACATTTTATGAAAAAAAAAAAACCAATGAATTATTGTAATGAAGCTATAACTATTATTTGTTTATAAATGTTTCAAGAACCGACAGAATCAATTTTTAGAATCCATATCACAATAATTAGAAAAATATTATTTATTACGAGTAATATTCATGAAATATAAAGGGGTTGTATAACAAATTCGTATTTCTACCCTTTATATACTATTAAATATGATATCATCTACCATATAACAGTACAAGATCAAACAATTTTGTAAAAACTATTGTTTATAACAGTTGAAAATCCATTGACGCATTAAATGAAGGCAGCTATGTTTTGCTATAATCAGAATTCTTGTATTTTTTTTAAAATTAAAGAGCAATTTACAAATCAAACGAATTTCCGTCAGTAGTTTGGGGGTGATTTAGATGAAATATTTTTAAAGAATTTCTTAAAAATAATACCCAGTTGGCAAAAATGAATGTTCTCATATTCCAAAATATCTGTGAAAACGCATCTGTACACCACAGAACAGTTTTTAAGTGCGTTGTTAGAAAGTTGTTAGGATTAGTTAGACCTTAACCATCGATTTATTTGCATATGCATAGTGCCGAATTTAACGGCTCGGCTTGGATCGAAAAAAAATAAAAATTAAACGAATAATAAGTATCGGGTGAGACGGAGAAGGGTTTAATATGTTTGCCACGCCGATCTCTGCGTGTACCCACGTATGACAGTTAATCTGCCCGTCCACCCTCTCACTATCACAATGATGTGTAATATCGCCATCTATAAGCCCGTGTACAGAAGAAAAAAGAGATAGTGGGTTCAACCCCATGACTTAATAATCAAAACACACACACACACATATATAAATATATATATATTTATTTTAATTTTTTATTGTTGATACTATATTCTATCACTTACGCCCCATTCTGAATGTGGATTTTGTATGCATACCTCGGCCGTCGTTACCGATCGAGTTTTATACGTATTCCATAGCCGATGCTATTTGCACGGTTTAGATGAAATCGTGATCGGAAATTGAATCGAGCGCCACGCAGGTAACGGCCGAATCCGGACGTGACAAAACTAAACACCCGACCCCCTAATTGGCGAACATTCAAATGAACGCGATATACCGAATACGCCGAGCGGCCCGACCGACCGCTGAATCTGCCCTAGTGGGACTCGACGGTAGAAACTTGATATTATTGGTGCCAAAAGTATAAAAAACAATGCAATACCAAACTAATTTTTCAAATCAATTTGTCCTCATCTTATAATCACTGATTTGTTTAATGTTTCTTAAAAATGTGCTCAAATATACATGCTATTTGAAAAAATAAACCAACTAAACCAACTATGTATTTTCTAAATATGCGAAAAAAAAATGCAAGTTTTAACTTTAGAGCTCATAATAGAAACGTATACCTTGGTTTGAAATGAGATTAAAAAACGAATCGAATTGTTGCCAATCCAATACTCAGCCTTAATTATTATAATATATATATATATAATAAATATTATTTATATGCTATGCTCCACATAATCCTAATAACGTACCGTATTGTGTCATTAACTTGAGCGCGCACAAATTCCAGTGGTTATAACATTCAATTCAATGAGAAGACTATTTTGCAAGGTTATATTTACTATTCTGATGAGACTCTAAGACTCTAAGAAGATCGTTTAACTATAAGAATGCGGATAAAAGTTTTCATGTTGGTTGAGTATGGCGTATGATCCTTTTAAAATTGATAAGAGGTGAATTTGAAGAATTCAATTAAAATATTTTTCTTATTTTAATAAGAATATAAAGTCTACACATATGAATACATGACTAAAATGAAAAAAAAAAAGTGTAAATACTAGGTACGCTAAATTAATATTCGGTAAATAAATAATAAGATTTTATTGCAAAAAAAAAAATTCGTTCAAAAATAATTAAATTAATAATGAAATAAAAGAAAATCAGACAAAAATCGTATGCACTTATACACGTAATAGTAATTTTTTGCAAATGTTGGTTTTATGATATATTTGGTAAATGTGACTTTTTTATTCTTATACATGAATTGTAAATTAGTATAACTTTTTGAATTAAAACTCGTAACATTTTCAACGGAAATACCAGAAGTACGATAATATGATATTGAATTGATTAAAATTCAAATTTGCCACTTGTATTATTTATAATTATTATAAATAATTATATATAATTATATAATAATTATATATTATTATTTCATTATTATCAGTGTATTGCCGTATTTAACGATCCTCGATGTGTGAAATAGACACTATAGTTCATCTTCTGTCCTCATCCGATCACCATACGGTTGATATAACTAAATATTATAATACTTTTTAAAGAACAACTACATGAGTATTCGGTTTTGTATATATATATTAAAAAAAAAAAAACAGCATAACCACATAGACGGAATGCACACATAAATATTATACTGTATTCTAAATACAAATAATATTGGTGACGTGGAAAAATTAATAAACAAACAGAACTAAATCATGATAATATTTAAATCGGATGCGTTTTGGTATTTTGAACACGTAGTATTCCAATCCGAAAAGATGAACGGACAGATGTTCGAAAATATTTGCGGTTTTTAAATAACACTTTTGCATTACCACAACCAATGCTATCTCAAAAATATCCATCAAAACAATATTCCATGAACCGGAGTTCAAAATTTAACAATGAAATAATTCCGTGAGAAAATCAAAGATCGAAAATCAGTCGAAAAAACTCAAATCGTATGTGAAATACGTCCGTGTATGCCTAAAGATTATACATTCGACGGAAAAAAACATTTGAATGTTATATTTTATGTAATGTAACGAAGTACTCTTAAGACTACGAAACGATTGACAAATGTTTTGAATTTTACGTTACTACCCATATTATTACTGTACGCGGAAATCGATTTTCACAGATAATTTTGAATAGCGGTTTTATATAATTGAAAATAAATAAATAAAATAAATACAATAGTATGTACTTTAGGAATTCGAAAAAGACGTCTGCAAAGACATGGAAGGATATAACGTTCTAATAATGTAATGTTCGAATCATTACATTTATTCTAACGAGTTAATTTTATTATTTCTTTGTAAAGCAATTTTTCCAAATGAATTAATATTACGATGAAAATATCTCCAGATCCGTTACTCCGTTCTCATCTATTTTCAATAAGGAATGGATTTGAATGCTCTAAAAAATCAGAAATACAAAAAAAAATTAATTAAATGTACTAATAACGGAATTGATTTTAAAAATTCACTAAAACTGTGCTCTTAAAATTATTTTTATATTTATTTTATTTTATTTTATTTATTTATTTAAACGCCATTTTTTCAGCAATTACAAAAAGAATAGATTATAGTAGAGTGTTTTGTGTACAATGATTTGATATAATAATGTCTTTACAATAATTTAATGATAATAATTAGGAAAGAAGAGGAGTGAGCTTAGGTAATTATTAAAAGTTTGAACTGGAGATTTATTAATATTGATTGTTAGAACGGGAGTTGAGTTAAGAGGAGTTGAGGAAGCGTAGCATTCTATGGATAGGTTGATTATAATTGTAATTTGTGAGATGTGTTGGTATGTAGAATAAGGAGTGTGAACGGGTTGGATAAAGAGGGACACGGAAACTAATAGTTGACAAAAGATCAGGGGCATCAATGGTACCTTTGATGAGAGATGTGATAAATGAAATGTCAGCGTCCCGACGACGAGAAGCAAAGGAAGGAACATTAAGAGTTGAGCTAATAGAAGTGTAATCATGTTGAGGATAAGGTATTTTTAGTAAGAAAGCAACATATGCTAAGAAACGATTTTGGACTCTATCAAGTCGGAGTTGGTCCTTGGCCAGATATGGATGCCACACAATAATTCCGTACTCAAGGATGGATCGAACCAACGTGAAGTAGAGAACATGAAGACAAGGGATAGATGTAAAATTGGTTGTGTTGCGTTTTATAAAGTCTAATACTTTCAGTGCTTTACCAATGGTAATATTTATATGGTTCTGAAAGGAGAGAGAAGGAGTTAGATGGAAACCAAGATCTTTAACAGCAAAAACACGTTCTAACATAGTGTCACTCAAGAGATAGGGGTAGAAGATAGGCTGACGTTTCCTACTAAATTTTATGATATGACACTTGTTAATATTGAATATCAGTCCTACAGCTTGAGTCCATGTATTGAAGGAGTTTAGATCTGACTTTAGTTTAAGGCAGTCAGAAGGAGAAGAGATTTTAAGAAATATCATCTGATATCATCTTGATATCATCTGCGAATAATAAGACTTTAGTGAAAGGGAGGAAAGTCTTTACCGAATTTATAAAGAGAATAAAGAGAAGTGGACTGAGGTGACTTTCTTGTGGCACTCCTGAAGGAATGTGAGTCAGTTCGGAGGGAGTACCGTGAAATTTGACAAATTGCCTTTTGTTACTCAGATATGATTGAAGCCATGATAATAAAGGATTGCCGATTCCAAGTTTTTCGAGCTGATAAATTAATCGAGCATGATCAACAGTGTCAAAGGCTTTTCTGAGGTCTGTGAACACTCCACCCACTTGGCAACCCTGTTCAAAGCTATCTAAGATGTAGGTCATAAAAACAAGGCTACTAATAACAGTTGATTTACCCTGTCGAAAGCCATGTTGGTCATCAATTATGATATGATTTAAATTTCTTTTAGTACAGTGATAAACAATTGATTCGAAAAGTTTGGCAATATGAGGAAGAATAGAAATAGGTCTATAGTTGGAAACAAGGGAAGAATCACCTGACTTAAAAACAGGTATAACTGAGGAAGTTTTCCATACGTCAGGGAAGACATTCTCATCTAAATAATGTCTAAAGAGATGAAATAGGGGAAAAACTATAGAGTCACGGCAGTTGTAAAGTAGTCTTGCAGAAATTCCATCTGGGCCATTTGAAAAGTTGTTTTTTAAGTTGGACAAAGCGGTATACACATCATCAATATTAAAGTGGCAGTTAGAAGGAAGATCATAAGAGTATGTATTATAATTAGATATATGGGTGGAAAGAGGGGGAAGGGAGTTATAAACAGAAGAAAAATACTTTGAGAAAAGGGCTGCAGAATCTAGCGTTGTGTATGCAGATTCACTGTTTAGGTGAACAGTGCACGGTATGGAAGCTGAGAAATTAGGTTTTCTAGTAAATTTCCAAAAGATGGCTGATTTGTGAAGGAGCATTTTTTCAGTGTTTTTGATGTAGGTTGATAATCAATCTTTGACAAACGTTTACATTTAGCTCCAAGTTCAGAAAAGGCATTATAATCTATACGTAACTTTATGCGTTTAAAGGTGGTTTGAGCACGTTTTCCGAAATAAGGTTTTTAAGAGTATTAGAAGTACAGCGTAGAAATTTAGGAAGTTTTAAGGTTTTACTTGGAACAAACCGTTCCATGGATTGGAGTACTGCTTCATTGAAAACAGCGGCCGCATCCTCTATAGAGTATAACAAAAAGGTAGATTCCCAATTTTATGAATTGAAAAATTTAGAGATGGCCGAGTGGTTGGCAGAATTATAGTCTTTGTACGTATGAGTAATGGCGTTACCTCTTAGTGCTTGGACTGGAAATTTAATGGAAAGGGGTGGGTGGTATTGATCGAGGATGAAAAGATATTCAATAGATGGGAGGACAGAAACGTTACAGGAGTTGGAAAAAATAAGGTCTAAAATCTTACCGTGGCTATTCAAATTAGAGTTGTACTGGAAGAAATGATGAAAAGATAAATATTCAGTAATAGATTAGGAAGAGGGATTAAGATCACCATATGCAATCAATCCAAACTCATCACTAGACCAATAAACACCGGGAATGTTATAGTCACCGCAAAAAAGAAATTTGGAAGTGGTATATTTTGAGACAATTTAATCGACAGTATTGGTATGTGATTCATATAGTTGTGGATGACTATTTGGGGGTATGTAGACTGTGTCAACAATAAGGTTTATTGAGGGATTAGTTAGATGAAAAAATACATGCTCATCTGTGATAATATTAGTAGGTATTAGAACTATGAGGTAAGTAGATTTTACAGCTATTAGCACTCCACCACCTCGTGTAAAAAGATTAATGATATGATTTCTGTCTAAACGATATATGTGATACCCATATAGACTTAGCTCGGATTTGGAGATAGCAGGAGTGAGCCAAGTTTCAGTCAGTGTTATAATATTATAATTACCGAAAGTTAGGAAATCAGTTTTAAGAGGAATAAGCTTCGTTCTAAGATCGCGAACATTTTGGTAGAAAATATTAAAATTAGATGTAAGAGAGTTATGAGAATCATGTAAAGAATAAGTTTTATGAGTGGATGCAAAATCAAAATAATTATTAATACTAGACATAGCGCATTTACACAATGTACAAGAGGAAGAAGAATAACTAAAATGAGCACAAGTATGGTCTAATAAAATGTTGAATGGTAGGTGATAACATGCATCAGTTAGTTTTTTGAATTGGATTGAGATGTATGCTGATTTTTGAGACGTATGGTGGTTTAGACTGGAACAATTCTAAGGAATCCATTGAAGTAGCGGATGGAAATATATTTTTCTCCTTTTTTTTGCCTAGTACGTAACTCGTTGTAGGTTTCATGAATTGAAAGTCGCTCTGAAGGCGTTTAATCGCGAGAAATGGTGACATTGGTGAATTGGTCAGGTGAGGTGTCTCGAAGGCGTAGAAAAGTCATTATCACATTTCAACATCATCATTCGAATAAAGTACTATTTTAAGAATTCGAGATGTCAAATCTTTACTTCTCCCTATTTTAAAAGCTTTGCAAATTGACATTGATGGTAATGGATGGTCTAGCTTTTTAAAAATGTCTTGAACAAAATTAATGTCATCAGTGACTCTTTTTGAGGCCGAAGGGTCAAGAGATTCAGGCACTCCCCGGATTATGATATTCTTAGCACATTGAGATTTAAGATGGATTTCTTAAGTGATGTCACAAAGTGACGGAGTATTAGCCGAAAAGAAGGTGGTGAAGATAGAGCGGTATCAGATAAAACTTTTTCAGTTGCAGCAAGTCTGGTCTCAAGTAAATTTATCTTGTTATGAAGAATAGTATTTTCAAGTTTCAAATCTGCGACTTGTTTCGTTAATCCTTCTAGACATTTTTTTAGATCAGTAAATTGAGCTGTTTTAGTATCGGCGAGATGCTTGTTAGATGTGAGAATGTCTGATTGTGTGGATCGCAAGTTTCTGAGAAGTTTCATAATATCAGAATTAGATGGAGCTGGATTAACAGTTTTGGTAGAAACAGAAGAAGCCGATCTAGTAGTTATTTGAGATATTGATGGCTTGGATGGAGAACTCATAGTTATATATAATTTATCTGAGTTACACTGTATATAGGAATTTCTGTGCTCGCAGTATATATGGTATGTGTGGAGAGGTCAGATAAAACGATAAAGTAATTTTAAATTACGGAAAGTACTCACATTTATGCGAAGCGCGATAAGAGTTGCAGCGACTTTCTTGTTGATAAAAATTTCCGATAACTTACGGCGGTCATTAATTAGGAAAGACCACAAATGATCTTTTGCGAAGAGATTTTTTGGACAGACCATTTCAAAATCGTCACCAGTCTGAGCGTGCACTTTTTTAGATTGATCACGACAAAAAACATAAAATACTGCCCACTATAACCGGAGAAATTGAAGAAAAACGGAGGAGCGTATTATGTATATTCACGTTTACATTGATGAATAAAGATATATATTGTATATAAAATTGTTATATATATATATAATTTTTATGTTTTGTTATTAAAAATAATTTTATTCTTATTAAATATTCGTATGATTGTGTTATTAATCTTCTCCTATAATAATTTTAGTCACCAAATTATTTCCAAAAAAATGAATGTATTAGATACATAAATTCTCTACATTTTTACCATATGTTGTGAATAAATTAATATTGGCTACATTTTTATCAAATTCTATCAATTTATACATAAAAATTGCTTAAAAACATTTAAACTCCATACGAATGGCAAACGATGCTCTAAAAAACTAAAAAAATCTTAAAAATGCAAAAAACTACAAGTAAAAGTTACATTTATTATTTCCTTGATGTTTGAACTTTTTGCATGGAAAGCAATGTTTCGGGACATTCAGGAAAAAATACGATTTGCTTCAAATCCATTCCCTAACTATCACATAATACAGTGTTCAATAATTGATACAAAACTTACCGTCAAACTAGGTTACTTGGACACTATCATTCTTTACATACGTGCACAACATTCAATTTGCAATGAATGATTAAAACAGTAAAACCAAAAAATCCGTTCTTGACTTTAGCTATAATTTCTACACAGTAAAAGTTTTTTTAATTTACTTGATCTAAAATTTTTTTTTAAAAATGTCTTTGTACCAAGTTACCTTGATTTTTGGGTAACTTGAGACACTCATACATTTTTGTGTATATTTCAAGTTACCTTTGATATTATTTAACTTGGGACTTAATTATTGTTTTTAAAAAAATGTAACTGTTGACTTATTTATTAATTAAAATTAATATATAAAATTATATAAAAAATATTAAATCAACCTGAAATAATCAATATAAAATAAATATGAAAACAATGTATAGGTAGTCAGCCTTATTTTAGTTTCAATTATTTTAGTCAATATGCTTAAACCCAAAATAACTTTTAATCGATATAAAGCCTCGTACACACTTGTAACATTCGCGCGTAACAAAACGCTGTAATGCAACTTAGGCACGTCGCCCACCAAAGTAACATGATGCGTGATCTGGCAAGTGACGTGACGAGTGATTTGTCAGTAGCACGTTAGTGGCACGCCACTCGCGAATTTTGTACACGATTATACGAAAAATCACTTAATATCGCATACCAATCAAACATGTCAGAACATGCGTCACTTTGGAATCATTTCTGAATTTTTGTTACTGATAGCAGTGGCGCGTGCACTACTTTTGTTATACGTAACTAGCTCGTCATTTCTATCAGTGACCACGCTGCGCACGATTATTTTATTTTATTTTCGTTGTAATTTCTAATTATTATTATTGATTAAAATATATTTGTGTAATAAAATACATAATATAATAAAATATATTTGTGTTTTAATTAAAATTAAAGAATACACATAAATATAAATCGTAAGTAGTTTTTAATACTTACTAATATTAATTATTATTATTGTTATAATACGTATATATATATACAATGTGTTCACCTATTTAGGGAACACTGAATTTCTCAGCCGGATTTGTTTGGAATAAATCGATTTTTTTTTTACAAACTGGTGGTATATGAATACACATTTTTCGATAAATTTCAACATTTTTTGAGAATTTGGTCTGCGTCATATATCAACTATGACTCTAAGTTAAATATTAACTGAATAAGAGCCATGTCAATTTTATTAAATAATATATTTTTTAAATTATTTTTAAACATTTATAAAATAATTTATAACTAATTCTTATTGGTTACTTGTTGAATATTTGTAAGTATTTTTTTAGAAATGTTATAAACAAGACTAACATAATATGGATACAAAATTATTTATTAAAAATTCAGTGTTCCCTAAATCGGTGAACACACTGTATATAATAACAATATAAAAATTTTAATTGTATTATGTAAAATTTGTAGAAGTATGAAAGACGATCCTGATACCAACATAAAATTTGTACAAACCGTACAAATGTATCCTTGTTTGTATGACTATAGAACAAAAGACTACTCAAATCGTAACGAACAAGATAAGGCTTGGGGAGAAATCGGAAAAATATTTGATGCCAACAGTAAAGAAAAAAGATATTTTGTTATCATTATTATGATTAATTTTTTTATTATTATCATTTATTATATTTACTATTAACTATAATAATTATAAATTTATGAAACTGTTGTAATACTTAAAAAATAGTAATGTATATCACTATATTAGTATACAGATAAAAACATAACAAAATATATTTTATATTAAACTGTATACTTATTTTGCCATGGTAATGCTGCATATGGTTTCACAAAATACTGACAAAGTCTTTTCCTTATTTCCATCGCTGAGTAAGAAGGTCTCGTTCTATTGTTTTCTATATTTTTCTCAATTTCTTCTTCATCTATATCGATATTCTCTTGCTGAATTTCTAGTGATGTTAAAATCTTTCCATCATGCACGCGAATAAAGTTATGCAAAACACAAATAGTTTTTATCACAATTTCAATGTTATATAATTTGATATTAATGGATCGTTCCAATATTTTAAATTTTGATGCCATCATTCCAAAAGCACATTTAACTGACTTACGACCTCTGGATAATCTAGAAATTTGAAAATTGTTTTTATTATGATAACTAATTTGAATAAAAAATGAATCTTAAGATGATTTGTTTATTTCATTGTTTAGTAATAAATTACCTGTAATTGAAAATTCTCTTCGTATTTGTCAATGAACATTTGGGATAAGATCTCATAACATTATCGAGTAGGGGAAAGGCTTCATCTGCAACAAAGTAATAGGGAAACGCAGGATCGTTTTCTTCATGTGGTAAACACGCATTTTCGGGTAGGTTGAGTTTTTTTTGCATTAATAACTGTCCAAATGCACATTCTTTAAAAACTCTTCCGTCACTGTTACGACCGTATTCGCCGACATCAATGGTGATAAACTTTCCATCAGCGTCTACTGTAGCCATTAAAACAATCGAAAAGTATCCTTTATAATTGAAAAATGACGATCCTGAGTTTGCTGGTGCTTTTACACGAAAATATTTATCGTCTATACTACCAACACAGTTTGGCAAATTCCATAATTCCTTATACCGATCAGAAATCGTTTTCCAGATTGTTTGATCTGGTATGGGCAAGTATAGAGGCTGTAAAACTTCCCATAGGGCATTAGATGTTTTTTCTATGATGTTACGAACGGTTGTCTCACCTCTTAAAAAGTAATAAGAAATTGATCTCATTGAAACTTCTCCAGATAAATACCAAAATAAAAATATAGTTCTAGTATCAGTATTTTATATTATATTATAAATATTTTTTAATTAATTGACTTTAATTTAATCGTTTTAAATTTCAAAAAATATTATTAAAATTAGATTTAACTTATTAAAATAGTATTTTTAAAATAGTAGCCGAATGTAAGGAAAGATGGAAAAATTTGAGGGGTTGCTTTACAAGTTATTTAAAAGTTAAACCTCCGTCGGGATCTGCTGCTAAATTTAAAAAGCCCTATTATTTAGCGGAGTTTTTGAATTTTCTTGAACCGTTTACAAAATCACGAAAACAATCAGGTTATTATTTTTAATAATTTATAAAAAAATTTTATTATATTTTTAAAATAAATTAAAAAATAAATATTTCTGTTTATTTTCACAGGTAATATGCGAGTTCCAAGATCCTCAAATGATGAATGTAGTGAAAAAGATGAATGTACTGGTAATGTTTCCGAAAATGAAGAAGACAACATTGACCTTAATCTAATCATTGAAGATACACCTGATACAAATAAATTAAATGATACAAATTCAAGTTTCATTGAATCAAGTCCGCAACAAAGTACCTCTAGTACCAACAAATTATCTGTTCAGAAGAAACAACGTCCAGTCAGGTTAGAGGATGTTAATAAAGCAGCCTTAGATTTTTTCTCAAAAAAGAAAAAAATTGATAACATGGAAGAAGATGTGGATTTATGTTTTTTTAAGAGTGAATTGCCACGTATGAAACTCATGAATTCTGAACAAAAAAGGCGTTTTAAAGTTGGTATCTTAAATTTGGCGGGAAGCATACTCAACGAACAAATTCCTTTAGTAACTCAACCAAATTTTTACCACACAGAAATTAATAAACAATATCAGAACATAGGTAACCAGGTTAATTACTCAACATCTTCAAATTTATCTTCCTCTTCAGCATCAACGCCTATATCACCTCTATTAAATTTAGCACAACAGCCTTCTAACTTGCATCAAAATAACATTCAAAATTGGTTGTATGATTAATTGTTGTGAATACAAAATGTTGGTTACCTTAAAAACGTTTTTTTATATATATTATTCATTTATTTCAGTGTATTATACATAATATAATTTTTTACAGTTATTTATTATTATTTAAAATTTCATATCAAATATGTTTCATAACTGTTTTGAACTTTATTATTATTAAAAACAAGATTTTTTTCAATGTTTATAAACATTTTTACTATATACAATATTTTATTAAATAACCCATCCTTCATAATCATAATAATATAGTTAGTGTTTTATGGGTACTGCACATATACATTTGTACCCAATATTAAACTATTTATAACATTTTAAACTTAAATAAAATAAATATTCATATCAACTATTAAGTATGCCTGAGAGTAATAAGTATGCGTTCTTGAGGACACACTGAATGCCTATAATTGGTATCCTTTTTTTGAATTTTAGGTCCAACTATTGAATCAGTAAATCAAATGTTTTTTTTTTTCATTCGATAAAAACTTTGAAATCTATCTTCATCTTCCAGGTCTTTAAATACTGAAAATGCACCACGTCCACGACAGTTTTCACGCCAAAACGGATGCACCCAATAACTATACACTCTTTTTTGATTTTCATTTAAAATATTTAAAAAGTTCAGGGCACATAACGCGTTTTCTTCGTTTTGAAAGCTTGACATTTTGATAAATAGTGAATCAAAACTGACGGTGCATTACTAAATGCTAACCTAATTGCAAACCACTTGTCACATCATGCGCTATGTCACTTAGGTTGGCGTACAACATAACTTGTCATATCACTCGTTACGTCACTTGTCACGTCACTTGTTAGATCACGCGTCATGTTACTTCGGTGGGCGACGTGCCTTAGGCGCGTAACAGCAATCGATGTGTGAACGTGAAGGCGTCACGTAGGTTAGTATGCAAACCATACTTTTACGCGATTTTATATTACAATAGAACCTAAATGAACATTAATATTTTTTAAAAGAGTACTTACAATGCGAACACGTCCGAACAGCAAGGTGATCGTTGTCAAAACGATAATAAATAAATATATAATTATGCGATAGTGATACAAACATTGATAATGCTCTAATTTGATAATAACATTATATCGTTTGTATTCAAGTTACCTATATGTCCCAAGTAACCCGGTTTGACGGTAAACAAAAATAAATTTACACGCAAGATTGATGAAACATAATTTGATATATTACTGAACAATAGCGCTGGCGCATAACATAATAGTATGTTAGATTATTCCCGGCCGTATACACATTAACCCGTTGTTACGCGGACCTTATGTTCAGCTATGTTCCTGTTGAAAACCCGTAAACACGATGGTGAACTCACTGGGTAAATATTTATTATTACACTGCATTTGATAACCTTATTTAATAAATATATTGTAATCCCTACTGATGCGATATCGGATCGTTAAACAATAAAATTTTATGCATTATACACCATACCTCCCTATTGTGGACGTTATCAAAGCGAGAACCAATATATGTGTGTACCATATTGATACTCCAACGGTTCTGTCTTCAATAGAAAAAATCTATATTAAAATACGAGTATATATATATATATATATATATGAAGTATAATAAAGTATTATTTACAACGTTGTACATAATTTTATTGAATGCGAATTTATCAATTCCGATTAAAAATAAGCAAGTTTTAAAATACCTTGAATAATATGAAGTCTTTTTTTTATTTCACATATTTTGACATATTTTGATGTGAATACATATTACTATATATTATATATTTTGTTAATATTTCACATTTTTATATCCATACAGTTTTTTATTTGTATTAAAATTATTATTTTAGAATTAAATTAAAGAAGTTATTTTGATCGCTATTACACAAGTTTCTGATATGCAAAATAATGACCTGAAAAACCATTAAGCGTATATTTCCACAAATGTTTGTATCTTGGTTAAAGTATTAATAGAATAAGAAACAATAGAACAATTATTGAAAATCTTGTGACAGAGGAAAATATAGAAATCAAATTATATGGAGTTAAAGGAGAATCGGCAATTATAATAAAAATTAATTAAACTATGTACTCGTTAATAATTCTGGCTTACAAAAAATTAAAACTATAAGAGATATTTTTATGAATAAAAATGAAAATACGTCATATTTTTATGTAATAATTATAATGTAAAAACAACATTTTTTTTTAAGTTTAAAAATTAATTAATTTATAATTAAGTTCGATTTTAATGAAATTAATAAAATTACTTACCAATGAATATTTTTTTTTGTCTCGTCTTTCATGTTATTCACAGCAGGGCATCAATCGTGGCTAAATTAAGTCCAAATAAAGATATCGCGGAAAAAATAAGTTTGGGAATCGCTACGCTAGATCATGTGAGAATTACCGTGGGCTCATGTTTTTTGAACTGTTTACCAATCGCCATATCCTGAAAAGAAAATCAAACAAATCGTTACTGGCAGAGAATGAAACTGAACATCAAAAAAAAAAAATAAATAAATAAATAAAATAAAATAAAACGTCTCGTATTTCGATGTGGAAATTATATAAATTAAGATTTTTTATTATATGTTAAAGCTTGAGGGTTAACCTAACCGTATTAAATTGCTAGAGTCGAAGTTATATCATGTATTTATAGCTGAGTTATGAAATTAATAATATGCTTTATTATTTCCTAATCGTAAAATATTATGTGGTTTTTCGCTCATATTGGTACCGATTCTATTGCAGAGATATTATGTGATTATACTGCTCATATATATTAAACTACACGCATTACAACAACATACGTTTTCCGATCGCTATGGTTTTCCGAATAAATTTATAATATAAAATCGTATTTATTCATTCGTCCTAATTTTAACGTAAAAATAGGTTAAAAAGAAATTTTAAATGCGTCTTATTATAATATGATTGCCGTTTTGCGAGTATAAGAGAGTACTTTCTAAACGACTGTTGAGTATATGTTAGCGTTGAACTAGTAATTATTAAATACTGTTTGCGGTGACTTTCTGTGGACAAATTTTTTTTATCCAGTTTGAAATATGCAAAGTCGGTGTACAACTTACGTGGAATACTTGATCACAGTGACTCACAGTGGGATGATTCCAATATTTAGTTGGCCAAAAGTCCCATTTTTAAAACCTAAAAAATCCTAAATTTTATTGATAGCTATTTTTCATTTGAAAATGTTGTGGATAAATTTAAAAATTTAGATCAATAAGTTGAATACCAAGTGAAATAGAGCGGTTTGATTACAAATAATTACCTTTTTATTGAATTATTCCGATTTTTACGCGAAATATATTAATTAATTTTATTAAGTTAGAATAATAAAAATTTTTTTTTCCAGAATTCACATTTTGTATGTTAGTTTACATAGAATTATGACAAAAAAAAAAAAAATTTCCCACACCTATTTACAGTAACAATGCAATATCTAACCGAAAAAACCCAAGTTTTCCATAATTTTTCCGCTTTTAAAGGGTTTTAGTTAAATGTATGAAATATTACGCAATTTTAAATGCATACATGTTATGGTTCAAATTGTCAAGAATAAATGAAGAAAAAAAAATTGTTCCAGACTTTTCTAATCAGGTACACATATGGTTGTACACGTTTTTCTTACACAACCTATAGTTACTCTGTATTATTACTCAATTTAATTTATAGTAACATAAAAA